TAAAGACGAGGTTTCACCATGTTGGTCAGGCTGGTGTTGAACTCCTGGACCTAGTGATCCGCCCGCCTCAGCCTCCCAAAGTGTTGGGATTACAGGCGTGAGCCAGCATGCCTGGCCTAAACAATTCGTATGTATATGTACACTGTTTATCACATACATGTATTGTGGCAACCATATGTATTAATAAGCTTTGAAAAGGTAAGCACCTGTATTTTCTCCTAATTAACAGTGTCAGTTTTGTCTGATATAGTCTCTATGGAATTTCCCTTATATTTGATGACAGAAACAAAGACTGAAAAATGGTTCACAGAGAAACACAGAACATATTACATGAATCTCAGAAGAACCATGTCTCCCGCTGTGTAGGGAACTATTTTAGAGGAAACACTTTCACTCCTGGCCCCAAATGCCACCATCCACTAATGTTCTTCAGTGTGAACCTTCCAACTGATCTTGAGGAACCTTTATCGCTCGGGCCTGGGGAGGTCAAGTCTGCAGGGAGCCTGATTATACCACTGCACTTCAGCCTGGGAGACAGAGCCAGACCCTGTCTCCAAAAAAAAAACACCATTTACAGGGACTTAGAAAAGGGAGAGTTTCCAGTGCTACACACAATGGTTCTATACACAGCTTAAAGGTTTCCAGTTCTTTGCCGGAACTTGATTTGATAGTTGAGAGACACAGGCATCGGGGCTCCTGAAGCAGGTGCACACTCCCATCAGCGCTGTGAGCCGGGGACAGCGCAGACCCCGTCCTCATTCCTCCTCACTCCTCCGCTTGGCGATTGGGAGAGAGTGCTCATGGCATTGAGGGGATGGGGCCAGGGATGCTTGCCAAACATCCTACAATGCATAGGACAGCTTCCCCCCGCTGCAAAGGAAGAATTCTCCAGCCCTATGTTAGTAGGGTTGAGCTTAAGAAACCCTGCTTTAAACCAGGCTCTAGACTTCCAAGGGTTCTCACAGTGCCCTTTCTAAATTGAGAAACAGAGGCCGGGAGGATCCGGGAGAGAGTGCTGGGAAAGATAAACTTACTTTCTAGCAGGCGAGGCTGTGTTGTTGGTTCCGAGTTTCTGATCTCGTTGCTGGTAATGGTAAGAACCTTAGTGGATTCCAGGCTAGTTCATCTGCCTGCGAAACCTTTTGGGAACTTGTTCAAAATTGGTTTGGGCTTGAGTGGGCAGTTTGTGAGTTTTTACTTCTTATCATGAACTGGCCATAGACTGGTTGAAGGCCTGAGCTGGGGAAAGTTGAATCTTCTGGAAGAAAGCGGTAAAAGAAATAGCCATCCATCGTGGTCCCATCTCCCTGGTTCCCTCCTTTCTGCCTGTGTGACACCCACTCCCTCAAGAGCCTCCTGGCATCCGTTCGCAACTAGAATTGGGGGACTAAGGAGGGTTAAAGAACGCCACTAGTGAGAGCTGCTCTCAGAAGTTCCCTTGGTGTGCTGGGGGTTTGGGTGACGTTATTTCCAGGCCTAAGCTGCTAACTGGCTTCCTGATAAATCTTGTGGCCGGGCTGTGTGAGATTGAGAGTGTAACTAGGGATAGAGCTGGCAGCTGCCTGGAATGCTGGCCTTTTTTGTGTGAAAGGAGGGAGAGGGTTTGAACGTTTGAACGGAAAGATTGCTTCAGACTGAGCTAGGAGGAACATTCACAAGCGTCACCTCCCATAGCTTTGAAATCTGTCTGATGCTCCTTAGGCCCTGGGTTTGTGCCTAGGAGAAAAAGAGAGGCTGGGGGGTTGAGGGAGAACTGTCTGCTGGGGGATCCTGGGCCCCACCTATTGGGGGCCTGTAGGTCAGAGTAAGCAGTGTCTGTGACATGGCTGGTGTTTCAGAATGTCCACGATACTGCTTGTTCTGACCTATTTTTATTTTTATTTTATTTTATTTTTAAGACAGAGCCTAGCTCTGTCACCCAGGCTAGAGTACAGTGGCGCGATCTTGGCTCACTGCAACCTCCATCTCCTGGGTTCAAGCAATTATCCTGCCTCGGCCTCCTGAGTAGCTGGGATTACAGACACATGCCACCACGCCCAACTCATTTTTGTATTTTTAGTAGAGACAGATTTCACATGTTGTTCAGGCTGGTCTCGAACTCCTGACCTCATGATCTACCTGCCTTGGCCTCCCAAAGTGCTAGGATTACAGGTGTAAGCCATTATGCCTGGCCTATTTTTATTTCTTTTTTAATTTTTTGTAGAGACAGAGTCTCACTATGTTGTCTAGGCTGGAGGCTTCTTAAACCTCACCACTCCAGGTCTTGAACTCCTAGGCTCAAGTGATCCTATCTCCTCGTTCTCTCAAAGTGCTGTGATTACAGACGTGAGCCACCGTGCCCGGCCCTGACCTCTTTTTAGTTTATTTATTGTGGTTTTTTGTTTTGTTTTGTTTTTTTGAGACGGAGTCTCGCACTGTTGCCCAGGCTGGAGTGCAGTGGCACAATCTCAGCTCACTGCAACCTCTGCCTCCCGGGTTCAAGCAATTCTTTTGCCTCAGCCTCCCAAGTAGCTGGAATTATACACTGTTGCCCAGGCTGGAGTGCAGTGGCACAATCTCAGCTCACTGCAACCTCTGCCTCCTGGGTTCAAGCAATTCTTTTGCCTCAGCCTCCCAAGTAGCTGGGATTACAAGCGCGTCACACCACATCCGGCTGATTTTTGTATCTTTAGTAGAGAAGGGGTATAACCGTGTTGACTAGGTTGGTCTCGAACTCCTGACCTCAGGTGGTGATCCTCCTGCCTCAACCTCTCAAAGTGCTGGGATTACAGGTGTGAGCCACCATGCCTGGGTTATTATGATTTTTTAAACATTTTATGTATTTGAGATGCAGTCTTGTTCTGTCTCCACTCCCAAGGTGGCATGCAGTGGCACGATCTTGGCTTACTGCAACCTCTGCCGCCCAGTTCAAGCGATTCTTCTGCCCCAGCCTCCTGAGTAGCTGGGATTACAGGTGCCTGCCACCGTGCCCAGCTAATTTTTGTATTTTTAGTAGAGACGGGGTTTTGCCTTGTTGGCCAGGCTGGTCTTGAACTCCTCAGGTGATCCGCCCTCCTTGGCCTCCCATTGGGCTGGGATTACAGGCGTGAGCCACCACGCCCAACCCTGACCTCTTTTTTAAAACCTCACTTTGTGGGGCCACTCTTGGTTTTCCTACCAAAGTGCTTGACTTGTTAAGCCATAAACATGGAATGATCTTTTTTTGTGTGTGTGTGACGGAGTCTTGCTCTGTCCCAGGCTGGAGTGCAGTGGGCCAATCTCAGGTCGCTGCAACCTCCGCCTCCTGGGTCCAAGCAGTTCTCCTGCCTCAGCCTCCTGAGTAGCTGGGATTACAGGTGTGCGCCACCACAGCTGGCCAATTTTTGTATTTTTAGTGGAGACGGGGTTTCATCATGTTGGCCAGGCTAATGTTGAACTCCTGACCTTGTGATCCTCCTGCCTCAGCCTCCCAAAGTGTTGGGATTACAGGCGTGAGCCCCTGGGAATGATCTTAAGATACAAAAATATGGGGTTCTTTTTTTTTTTTTTTTTTTTTTTTTTTTTTTTGAGACGGAGTCTCGCTCTGTCGCCCAGGCTGGAGTGCAGTGGCCGGATCTCAGCTCACTGCAAGCTCTGCCTCCTGGGTTCACGCCATTCTCCTGCCTCAGCCTCCCGAGTAGCTGGGACTACAGGCGCCCGCCACCTCGCCCGGCTAGTTTTTTGTATTTTTTTTAGTAGAGACGGGGTTTCACCGTGTTAGCCAGGATGGTCTCGATCTCCTGACCTCGTGATCCGCCCGTCTTGGCCTCCCAAAGTGCTGGGATTACAGGCTTGAGCCACCGCGCCCGGCCAATATGGGGTTCATAACCCCTTAACCTTGGCACAGATACAAATGTATACCCTTGTGCTGGGAATGACAGGTGATTCCGAGGCCCTTTTGTGTGGGCTGGTAAGGGGCGGTGTTGGTGATTCAGAGGCTGTGCCCGAGACAAGGCCGGTGAGTCCAGCAGCTGCAGGCTGACCTCCGGAAGCCCCGTCTCCCTCAGGGAGGTGCTGGCAACAGATGTAGGAACGGGCTTTGCTTTGTGATGTCCATGTATGATGGGAATGGGGTTAAGTCCCCCCTTGCAGGAAGCTCTGGTGACTGAGTCTGGAACGTGCGGCATGTGCTGGTGTGTGCCTTGAGGCATTGGAGCCGGCGGTGTGGACCTTGGGCTCCCCCCAGGACAGGCAGGGCTCACTCTCCCCACTCCGCTGTGTTTCTGGCTTGCAGATGGGTGGAACCAGCAGCTGTGTGGAGGCCTGAGCTGTGTGCTGGCTGGGCTGTGTAGACACAGAGGTTTGAGACTGCCCTTCCTCGAAGGAAGCTGGAGGCTCCTTACACCCTGCTGCTCCTCGGGCCTGTCTGTGAAACCTGGCTCGCCTGGCCTGCAGGGTTGGCTGTTGGTGGTCACTGGGCACTTTGTAATCAAGCAGCATCCTGCGTTTTCCCGTCTAACAAACTCCGGTGTCTGCACCCGTGACTGCTGTACATCAGGCCCTGGAAATCAAGTCAAGGTCTGAAAGTTCGGCCAAAAGTTCATCTCTGACTCAGAATCCCGTGTTCACCAAAGACCAGTTGGGGCTCTGTGGGTCCCGATCACCCTGCTGATCTGGGTGTGTGTTAAAACCCAGCCCTGCAGTGCATAATTACATTCCGGGTGCCCCTAATAACAACCTGCGAGTGCAAGATGAGGTGTCTCACCTTATCCCGCTCAGCTGAAGACATTGGGGCCTGTCACATTTTGAGACCCCAGACCTATCAAGCACACAGAGAACGTGATACTGCTCACTCCGCCCCGGCTGCCCAGGGGTGGCCGCTGTCATGTGCGCAGTCCACCTGAGGTCTAAGCTGGCTGTTGGGCCCCTCAGGTGTCTCTGTGTGTTGCATTTTTTTCTCAGAGGAGAAATCTGCAGATTGGGGCCCGTCCTGCTCAGACCTGCCCGTGTCTCTGGTCCAGTGGACTTTGATCCAGGGGCCTAGGGTACAGCCAAGCCTTCACTGCTGCCTTGGCCCTTTTCCGCCTCTGTGATTGTCGCCAGTGTTTTGTAACTGATCTGATCTGGGGAAACGTCGTGTTGGAGTGTGCTGCCAACGTCCGCAGTAGGATTTCGGAGGCAGCTGCAGGTTTCGCCGCTGCCATGGGCATAGCTTGAAGGAGGAGCTCAGAGTGGCCTCCATGTTTCTCCTTTCCAAGCCCCTGAGGTCTCTAAGCTCCAGGAGGGTTGGATGGGGAAGCATTGCCCCGGGGCGGGGGTGGGGTGGGTGTCAGGAAGCTCAAGAGGCTCTGGAGGCATCTCAGCTGGACTTGAGCTCTCCAACTCTAATGGCTTTTTAATGTGTGAGCTGAAGTGTCAGGGGCGGTCTCTTCTGGTTCTCTTTCAAAGCTGTCCCCGGAGAGCGGAGAGCGTATGGAAGAATGTGGTGGCCAGGGCTACAGCGGGTTTCTCTCTCTCCCTTCTCTCCTGTCCTCTTCTTCCTCTCTCTCTCTCTCTCCCCCCCTTCTTCCTCTCTCTCTCTGTTCTCACGCTTTCCTTGTCTTTCTCTCTGTCTCTCCCTTCTTTTGCCTTCTCACCCCTTCTTCCTCTCTCTCTCTCTCTTCTCCACGCCTTCTTCCTGTCTGTCTGCCTGCCTGTCTCTGTCTTTCTCTGTCTCTCGCCTTTTGCAGGGCTGGATTTGGCAAGCACTTTTTCTGAGCGCTGCAGCTTGGTGCATTTCTGCTCATTTCCTGTTAAGCAGTACCCAGGGCTCCCTGAACTCAGGCTCTGGGAGGACGGCCCTGTCTTCCTTTTCCTCTGCACTCCTAGAAAAACCTGCTGACCAGGCCCTGAGAGCGGGGTCATGGGGAGACTTCCTCACCACAGCAGGAAAATAGACCGACCGTTTCCTCCATTGGACCTGACTCAGCAGCGGCCCACTGACCGCCTGGGAGAGAGGGCTCCCGCCTGGCGGGCCGCAGTTCCACACGTGGGTAAGGGTGACAAAGCACCCAGCAGGGGTCAGGCCGCGTGTCTGTAGGGGCGGTGGTCGTGGCAGATACCCAGGATCCAGACGGCCTCAGGCCAGCGAGGGCATGGGGTGAGTGGGCCCACTCCCCTCCCTGGGCCGGAAACGGGCGTATTCTCTGCCCTGGCCCGAGTGGACAGATCCCCACGTAGTTTCAGGCTGATGGGAGTGGTTATTCCATTGCCTTTGCCACTGGATTATGAGCCCATTGCCATCAGAGCCAGGCATTTCTGCTCATTGCTGCATCCCCAGTGTTCGGTTTAATGGCTAGCCTGCCCCAGGAAGCCGGTAAATATCACATGGAAGGACGGATGGGCCACTGTGACCCCCACCCTACAGCGGATGGCTGTGTGTCAGGTTTATGTGAGCACGCCCTAGAGGAAGAGGAGAAGCATGTCCCCACCTGGCCTGGGGTACAGTTCAAGCTCTCAGCTGACTTTTGGGAGCTTCCGGAGCCCCTGCCTTGGTCCCAGCTTTAAATGCTACTCTTCCCCTGCATAGGAAACTCACACAGTCAACCCCTCCCGCCCATCCTGTGTGGGGCCCTGTGCTCTCCTGCCTCCTGTCCATGTCACTGGCCTCTTCTACCTCCCAACCCCACTCTCTCCCCACTTCCTGTCTGCCCTATAATGAATGCGTTTCTATCTCCCCTTATCCTTGGCATCTTCTGGGGCTGCATGTGGGAACTGAGTTCTCAGCCCTTGGAGCATCTGGCCTTGGAGTCCCCCACCCACACACCACACGCTGGTGTTTGTGTGAGGTGCTCTCCTCCTGTCGGATGGCAGCTCCTGAGGCTGGGTTGTGCCCGGGCATGTGTGATGGGCCATGTTCCGCTGGGCACTAGCCTGCTGATGAGGTCGCCAGAGACGCTCCCTGCAGAGGCTGAGCTGGGGGGCTCCTTCTCAGAGTGGGGGGCTGTCCTCCACGGGGCCCCTGCAGTGTCCCCGTGGTGGTGGCTCAGCAGCAGCCCTGGTCCGCCAGCCAGGCATCTGACCAGGCTGTGACAGAACACCAGGGGGGCAGGTGGCTGGCAAGGCCTCGGAGAACTCGGTTGGGAACAGGTCCAACTGCTCTGAAAAAATCAGCAGCTCGGAGAATGTTTCTTGTGGTTTAGGGTGTGTGTCCAGCTCCAGGGCTGCAGCTGACAGTCACCTGAACTTGGCCAGGTCAGAGGGGCCTGACTGTGTCACAGGCAGTTTCTGACCCGGAGCCTGCCTGAGCAGGGTCCCGAGGAAGCCGAGCCCAGACGTCTGCTTCCCCCCTTGACTGAGGCCAGGCTGAAGTGTACCTGCTGCTGCCCGGCTGGGCCAGTCTGCTCAGAGTTGGTGGTTCCCTGGCTTGAATGCTTCCCCAAGCTAAACCATTCCCCCAGCCCTGTTTGCCAAGATTCTTAGGGCTTTCGCCATGGCTGGGCCTGGCTACTCGTTGTGCAGCTCCTTCCCTGGCCTCGGTGCCCAGGCGCTGCAGTGACTTCTGTCTGATTGCCACAGTCGGCCCTGCAGCTCCTCCCCATTCTTCCTGTGGACGGCCCCTTCTGTCTCTGAGCCTGCTGTCTCTTGTGCGTTCGCCACCCCTCTCTGTACCTGCCTTCTAAGCCTGCATCCCCTGTTCCGGCGTTCAGACGTGACACTCTCATGACTCGCAGACCACAGCATGCAGCTGGCTAGCGGTAATGCCCTGAACCGACAGCCAGGGTTCATCGCCTATCCTTTAGCTTGAACCCATTGGTTGATTCGGCCTCTTTCCTCTTAAATTACTTTTATTTTATCACTTTTAAAATTTATTTTAAAGGGGATAGTGGTGTTTTCCTTGCTCAATAACAGTAACTGGAATAGGCCGGACACAATGGCTCATGCCTGTAATCGCAGCACTTTGGGAGGCCGAGTCAGGTGGATCACAAGGTCAGGAGTTTGAGACCAGCCTGGCCAATATGGTGAAAACCCCTCTCTACTAAAAATACAAAAATTAGCTGGGCATGATGGCGTGTGGCTGTAGTCCCAGCTACTCAGGAGGCTGAGGCAGAAGAATTGCGTGAACCCAGGAGGCAGAGGTTGCAGTGAGCCGAGATCGCGCCAGTGCACTCCAGCCTGGCAACAGAGCGAGACTTCATCTCAAAAAAACAAAAACAAAACAAAATTCGCCGGGCGTGGTAGTGTGCATATCTGTAATCCCAGCTACTCGGGAGGCCGAGGCAGGGGAATCGCTAGAACCCTGGAGGTGAAGGTTGTAGTGAGCCGAGACAGCACCACTGCACTCCGTCTCAAAAACAAAACAAAACAAACAAAAAACCCACACAGTAAGTGGAATAACAAATACAACAGCAACAAAACAATGGAATAAAATCTTCCTGGATACCCCACCCCTGAGCCTGAGGTGTCCTTTCTTGTGAAAGAGCTGTTCAGGCTGGACGTGGTGATTCTTGCCTGTGATCCCAACACTTTGGGAGGCTGAGGCAGGAGGATTGCATTAGCCCAGTTGTTCAAGCTCATTTGGGCAATATGATGAAACCCCATCTGTACAAAAATTAAATTAGCCAGTCATAGTGGTGCACACCTGTAGCCCCAGCTACTTGGGAGGCTGAGGTGGGAGGATCACTTAAGTCCAGGAGTTCAAGGCTGCAGTGAGCTGTGATCGTGCCATCGCCCTCCAGCCTGGGCAACAGAGCAAGAACCTGCTTAAAAAAGAAAAAAAAATCTGTGTTATAGTAGTGCCCACCTAGAAGTTCCTTCTTGCCAGAATAAGAAATATGGAAGGGGAATTGCGGCAGTTGTGTTCTGACCACATGATTCGTGTGCCTTGTGCCTGTGTTAGCTGCCACACTGTGGGAAATGCCTCACAGAAGGCACGTTGCCTTTTCCCTTGGGGCCTGCTGCCATACCCTCTGCAGTCTCATCTCATAGGATCGAGGGATCCTGCACACTGGGATTCAAGCTCAGGAAAGAGGGCTGATGGCTTGGTAACAGCCAGGTCCTGAGTGCCTGGGGAAAGGCATGGAGGCTGGAGACCCTGCAGTCAGCATTCTTAGGGAGTTCCCAAGTATCTCTGGGCACGGTGGCTCACACCTGTAATCCTAGCTCTGAGGGAGGCAGAGGCAGGAGGAGCGCTTGAGGCCGGGAGTTCGAGACCTGCCTGGGCAGTATAGCAAGACTGTGTTCTCCAGGAAAAAAAAAAAAAGGTAAAAAAAGAAATAAAAAGAGTTCCCAAACATCACCCAAGCAGTAATGCAAATATCTTCCTCCAGGACCCCCCCATCCAGCCCTGCCTGCTGGAAGCAGAACTGCTGACTGATTATTTTTCTGCTGTCACTTCGGGACTCTACCCCAGTATTAAGCAGAGACCCTTGTTCTCAGAAAGCCCCTGCGGAAGGAAGTTCTGGGAACTTTCTGCCCGCCCTCGCCGCAATCCCCTGCCACCCGCCTCTGTGGGATGAGGCCCCACGGCTGACTCAGGCAGGCATCCATCAGCCTAACAGCCTCACTCATCAGAGTCTCGATTGTTTGAAACAGACGGGCAGCCCTGGCCCTTCAAGACCAGCCTTTGTGGCTCAGAAGAGGGTAGCCCAGGGACCTGGATGGAATTTCTCCATCTGCCAGCCTTCACCCACCCCAGCATAAGATCGTCTTCATCCTCTCCTGAGGCCTCTTGACGGTTTTCTCTGAGGTTGAGAATCACCGCTATTATTTTAGGAAGGAAGAACAACCCCCAGAACTGCAGAGCAAGTCTCTTGCTTCTTGCTTACTCTGGTCAAGTCAGTGTTCCACCCATGAGAAACCTTGGAGCTGCCGGCCCCCTGGCTGAGCATAGTGTGGGTGTCCAGGAGGTATGTACTGCCCACTGCAGAGGCCGACTCGGAGGCCGCTGGAACGCTGCCCTGTGGGTGGTTTTGCTCCCCCAGCTTTTACATTTTTATTTCATACTTGCAGAATCCTGTGTATTTTTCCAGTGTTCTCCCACGCCCAGCCTTCCCACAACAGCCTCCCCGGCTAGCCCCAGAGCACCCTGTGCCCGTCAGAAGAAGGCACTAGTGGGCCCCTCTGTTGAGTGGGGTCCCTGTGTCACCATCTAGACTGGCTGAGGGTTCCATAGTGGGCAGCTGCACAACCAGGGAGGGTCCTTGGGGCCCTGAGAGGGAGGGCAGGGGAAAGACCTTTGGTCCATCTGCTGCAATCACGTTTCTGGAGCCCAGGAGTCCACTCAGCTGTCAAGAGGAGCCGGTAGGGGGTCGCCGTCCTTCCAAGAAGGGTTGCTTCTTACTGCATTCAGAACACGTTCCCCGGGCCGCACGCTGGTCGGCACCAATATGTGGCACAGGACACCTCCCTTGTTCAGGCACCTCATAAAGGTTGTATCATAAAGGGTTTCAGATACAGAAAGACACCTAAGAATGACCAGTTGATGACCAGGTGCCCACCACGCCACCCAAATGAAGCCAGAGCAGGGCAGGCACACCTTTACTGCGCGTGGGGTCACTGCTCCAAAACGTGCGGGGTTGTGTGGCAGTCTACACGGCCTGTCAGCAGGATCATGTGCTTTCTTGCTTGGTTTCTTGTACCCTACTTTTTTTTTTTGAGATGGAGTTTCTTGTCACCCAAGGTGGAGTACAATGGAACGATCTCAGCTCACTGCAACCTCCCCTTCCCGGGCTCAAGCAATTCTCCTGCCTCAGACTCCCGAGTAGCTGGGATTACAGGCACCAACCACCACACCTGGATAATTTTCATATTTTTAGTAGAGACAGGGTTTTACCATGTTGGCCAGGCTGGTCTCGAACTCCTGAGCTCCATCGATCTGCGTGCCTCGGCCTCCCAAAGTGCTGGGATACAGGCATGAGCCACCGTACCTGGTGACCTGCTTTTTAGGCTGAGCACTGCTTGTGAGTACCATTCACACTGGCACACAAGGCTCTGCTCACATCCGCAGCTGTGTGGCTTTCCCTCGTGATTATTCCACAGCGTGTCTATCCAT